AGAGAGAGAGGCGAGAGGCTTCTTTGATGTTGCTACAGCAAAAAGAATCCAGCCGAAACTGCTGGACAGCAGTTTGATCTTCCAAATAGTAGTTATGAGGCTTACGATGGCTGGGTTTGCATGGGCAACGGCTGAATTATCTTGGCTGCAGTTTTAGGAAGGAGGATCAGATTTAACAACGACTGAATTAATTATTGGCTGAGAAACGTGGGGGAGAAAGAGGGGGGAGCGGCTGCTTTGGAGAGGAGTAACTGATGGGGTTTGTTTCCAAACAATAGCTTCAGGTTTTCTTATTCAAAACCTGAGAGATATTTAATCAGGTAATAAATATAGGAAGGGAGACACGGGTGGGAATTTAATTCTTAATTCCTGAAATAGGCATGAGGAGATTTGAGATGATTTGAGTTTATTGCCTAAATGCTAGATTCTGTATTTAGGAAATAAATCCCAATTTAAATCCTCTTGAATTTAAAATTCAAAAGTGGATCTACATCAAATACTTTCCTAAAATAGATTAACTAAATTAGGAAATAATTTGAATTCAAATTTGGATGAATTTGAATTTCAAATTAATCCCAATTAATTCCAATTCAAATTCAGAAATAAATTAAAGGGGACTAAGGGAAATGGGCCCGGCGGATGGGGTCTTGGCCGGCGGCCAATTGGGGACGGATGGAGGTGGCCGAGGCTATGGGGAATTTTTAGTAGAGCTTGGTGTATGGAGGAGGTTGGGGGAAATTTGGTGGAGTTGGATGTGACGAAGACGAATGATGGAAGGTGGCGAGGGAAGACGAAAATACAACGAGAAAACCACGAACCCGGCCGTCTCCAAGGTTGGTGGGTGATACGATTTCTCTCTCCCAGGGATCTCAAATCACGAGCCCGGACCCATGCTGCGGCTGGTGAAGACTTCGATTCCTCTCATAGGAATCTCACTAATGCTCTCTCACAAGAAGAACAAAAGTGTGGAAAACAATTTTTCATATCAATCAACCCCCCATTACAATAGCTTAAGGCCCTTATTTATAGGCCATAACATGAGAAAATAGAAAATTACAAAAATGCCCCTTGGGCTACAACACTCAAATAAATTAACCTAGGGGTAAAATAGAAAATAACATAAAATAGAAACTAAAAGACAAAAAATAATTCATAAATGACAACTTAAATTAGAGCCGTCGATTTACGACGCCTCCTGTGATAGATGCGCCAGATCTTCGTGCCGATGTCCGCATCAGATGGTCACTGCAATCTTGCCGGCTAGGACTTTATCAAATGTTTTTCTTATTTTCCCTACCACACGGACATTCATTATGGATCCTCATCAAGCAATTCTTGTGTCTTGTTTTCGTGTAAATCAAATTATTTAAGATTCAAATAAAGGTTGAAATGCACACATTTTCTTCCCTTACTAATTACTATAATGTCTTGCATAATAGAACATCTCAAAGGACGTAATAGTGGACCTAATGGCCTTATCCAGCACTTAGGAACCAAGTCATTTCTGGTAAAAGAAGGCAAACTAATTGCCTTAACACAATGACTGCATGAGGCATGATGTGCAGTCGTACAGAATGTTATATGATTGACATATGATTTCCATCCACATTCTCATTGGTTCTTATACAGAAAACCATGCCAACTA